TAATAGAAGAGAGAAGGATGATGAAACAAAAGATTATCCGGAGCATTGACGAGCAAAAAAACAGGAATTGAATGCAAGCTACAATACACTGAACGAAAGAGTAAAGAAAAGTGCCAGGGAAGACAAAAAACGATATTATCAAGCTATGGCAATTGAAGCAGAACAAGCTGTAGGCAAAGGAGACCTCTCAACACTTTACCAAGCAACTAGGTTCCTATCACGGAAGAGATCAACACAAATTAAGCCAGTGAAGGATGATATGGAAAGTCAATCAACAACGAGGTGGAGCACAGGAAACACTGGCCTGTACACATCAAAAGACTTCTTAAACGACGGCCACCTACAAAGTGCCCAATAATACCAACAGCAGAAGCAGAACTACCAAAGGATATCAGCCCTCCGACGAAAGAAGAAGATGGTGAAAACTGGGAAAGCAGCAGGACCAGACGGAATCCCAGCAGAAGCACTGAAAATCGACTCAGTGACATCAGCTGACTTGATGACACCACTGCTAAAGAGGGTGGGGAAAGAAGACAAGGTACCTGCGGAGTGGAAGAAAGGCTACTTACTCAAACTTCCAAAGAAAGGAGACTTAAGTCAATGCAAGAACTGGCGCGGCATTATGTTCCTGTCCACCCGAAGCAAAATACTAAGCCGCATCATCCTGCAGAGAATCAAACACGCCCAAGATGAAAAACTTTGACTGGAACAGGCTGGATTCAGGAGAAACAAGTCATGCATTGATCAGATCGCCACATAAAGGGTCATCATTGAACAAAGCTTGAAATGACAGTCACCTCTCTATCTCAACTTCATTGATTTTGAAAAGGCTTTTGACAGCGTCGATCGAGAGGTGATTTGAAAACTACTTCGCTACTACTGTTGCCACCAATAATTATGCACCTCATTCAACAGTTGTACAGCAATGCTAGATTTCGTCGATGATATATGTTTGATTTCCCACAAATTATAAGATATGCATGTGAAAAGCAACGAGTTGGCAGAAGAAGCACCACAGATAGGACTTCAGATGAACGTAGAGAAAACAGAGGTGAGGAAGATTCCTGGCCAACAGCAACAGTAACAACAACACCAGAAAACAATCAGCATAAGTGGGAGAAATCTGAAAGAAGCAACCTCTTTTACCTACTTAACTACCTGGAAGGTATCGTTTCAACTACAGGAGGAACTGATAAAACATCTAAGCGAAAATTGGGAAAGCAAGGCAAGCTTTCATTTCTCTCAAATCTGTGTGGAGGTCAACAGCACTCAGCATGAAAAATAAGGTCCGTGTTTTCAACCCCAATGGGAAGTCAATGGTACTATACGGATCAGACACTTGGCGCGTCACGAAGGGCGTTTCAAACAAACTATAGACTCTCATCAACAGCTGTCTGCGCTCAATACTCAAGATCAGATGGCCAGCCAGAAAAGATCAGCAACAGGGATCTCTAGGAGCGAACCAACCCAGCAGGAAACAACCGTGCAACAAATATGCAGGAATAAATGGAGGTGGACTGGCCATACTCTGAGAAAACTATCAAGTGAGTGACATCACACGTCAGGCCATCGTTCGAGTGGAACACGAACGGGAATCAGCGAGTTGGACGTTAGTCACAGGATGACATGGGGGACGTCATATGAAGAGGAGATATATATATATGCATATATATAAGGAGGTTTTGAGAAGAATTTTCTCTGCCTAGTCACTTAGTCTCTACAGTTAACTGTAGTCGAATTTTTGTAATGAAAAACACTCGTCAAGTGTCAGAATTACTTTTCACCTTTAAAAACCTTATTTTCCAGTTTGTTTGCTTACATTCGAAGCATTCTGAAAACAAGGATTTAAACGTGTAACATCATGGTTAGCTTTAGCATGAAATGGTCAAATATCTGTAGGAAGTTTTAGATACACCTAATTATAAGATAAACTTGAGGTTGTATGCGACACGTTAATTGAAAACAGCTACTCTGAATAGTTCATCACTAAACACATGGTCAAGAAAGTAGAAAGAATTCTCTTGTTTCTACTATCAGGTAGGTTCTATATATACGAGTATAATTCAAGGGGGTATACCAAGTGAAATAATAACTAACCACTTGAGGAAATCGATCAAAAAAACGTTTTATACCAGAAAACTGCAGCTTGTATTTTCCACACAACTGCTTGTAATTCCAAAACTGAAAGATGATATACCCAGGCTAGTCACCTCTAATTGTATCCATCAATTCAACTGCTCCTATGGAGCCAGTTATATTGGCCGTTGCTCTAGGAACTTAATTTTTCGTGCTCGGGAACACCTACCAGTATAGTTAAATAAAAGTGTTGTTAAAACCGTTAACAGTACTATATTTGACTACCTCTTGCAAACAGACCACACAGCTAACATTGAAGAATCTTCCTCTACCATCTACCGTGTATCGAATAAGTTACCAAAGAACCTCAGATACCAAACACTCGAAATAGCAGAGGCCATTGCAGTTCACCTAAATCGACTGAAGCCCCAAATGCAAAAGAAACAGGTCCAGCCATTATCGTTACCAAGCCTACAAATCCATAAATTCTGTGTTACTTTCCTTTATTTATCTGATGTTTCCTTTATGTTATATTAATGCATATTATCTCTCTCTTAATGATGCTTTTGAAATGCAATCTATCGATACTACTGACTTAATATGATTTTAAAAAGCATTGATGTTGTTAATGACAATACTTCTTTAATTATAATGGTCATATAAGTGTAGAATATGATGATGAATTTATCGAAAAGAATATTCTATGTTCATTAATCAGTATTTCAAGAAGTGCTTAAAGGTATTTAACAAGGATATTTTAAATATGAGATACACATACTTCACTGAGGGTTAATTTGACTTGTCATGTCACGAATGTACATTCTGCTCCGCTTTATTCCACTTTTATTAATGTTAAGTAGATTATTTATTTGATAATGATGATTTATTCAATTAATTTTGGTTAATTTCGATAATAATTGTGATGAATTATACATAAATATATAAATGAACATATGCATGTTAGTATTTCATTCTCACAAATATACGCTGGTACGACATGTAAGAAATCAGTTGAATCTACATGTAAATTTCAAAAATGTTCATCTTGAAACTTTAGACACTCCAAAATAAAATGCACATCCCAGTAAGATATATTCTCATAATAGCCATTAGTAAGTAGTATTTTTTTATTTTTATTTTTTTGTTTACAGCTTGATTCCACACAGTACTTTTGGTAGAAGTATGGAATTTTCAGCATGGATATCTGTAGCCCAAATTTTACAGGCCGACCATAGATATCGGGTGTGCGCCGGCAGGTAATCGAACCCCGGACCATGTGCATGGTCGGCGGGAGTCCTAACCACTGTGCTACCGACGCACTGAGTTGAAAACATCCCGTACAAAGAAACGACGTATAAAGTTGTAAAAAAAGGAATGAAAAAAGTTTTGAGCCAATATAGAAAGCATGTGAATAAGATACTGAAGTAGTGGAGGTATGCAAGAATAAGTATAACACAGATACTTTAGGCAGATGGGAGTTTCGACGTAAGGTTGCCTACTATGTTAGGCATTAAATGTTATGCAAATTTGACCGGTAAACAATTCTGTATCATAAAGTTCTTTGTTCTCCGTCATACCAACAGAAAAGCACCTACAGGTACCTTTGCGATTCGAAAGGATTTTTCAGGGGAACTTTGCCACGAAAAGATAAATGTTGGCTTACTCAACAATGTGCGAGCTCTCATTGAAATTGAACAATCCTAGTTCTTATCCTATTAACAATTGTTAGCATACACTGTTATGTAACCTTAAATTGGAAAGATATAATAACATAGTGCTTATCAGTTTTCTATAATACTTTGACTGATAAAATTCATTTCGAAGGTTTCAGGGTATTTTAATGAATTCATTGTATTTTAGATATAGGTAAACATCACAAAGTACCAAATAGTCGTTTATATTTTGATTTTCTTCCTTTCGACTTTGAGAGAAGTATAAATGTGAGTGATAAAAAATTAGAAGTAGATTTAATTTAGCAAAACCATGAGTCTTGATTATCGAAAGAATACAACTTATTCTTGATGTCTTCCCTTTATTAATCTGCGTGTTTTTTATGTATGACTGGCAGTTACACATCTAATATACTAACAACACCTTTTTACTCTTACTATTCTTCTACCTTACTATTGTAATAATTTGAACCACATTGGAAAATGTTCTTTTTTATCAATTTATCAAGTAATGAATATGAGACAATTTAAAGCAGTAGAAGAACGGTGAAACGCAAATTTTCGGTTCGAAGGCATTTGATTAATCTCAGTGGCGAAATGAAATCATTTAGAGAATCACTGAAAACTAAGGGACACTGATCTTTGGATTCCTAACTGGCAACCGAGAAGAAAATGTCCTCGGCGTGAATCCTCAAGATCCTGGGTTTGATACCTACTGCAGCCATGGGTGCACATTACCGTCAATTTCGACAGTAGGACAAAACAGATGATGAGTGCTCTTAGTACAGTGAAACTCCTTATAACTTGTATAAATGACTGAAAAACGCACGACTTATTAATACTGGTAGCCATGTCTGCATTTGACATGCTCTTAATTTCATTGGCATTGAGCAATCCGACAATGGTGCATCTGTAGTTCAGCAGCAAAATACTCGTCAGCTACTCGGAAGGTCCAGTTTCTATTACCGGTGGACGCAATCTTCAATCACGTCTAGCAGGTAGTAAGAGAAAAGGATGGGCGTGATGATAGCCACCCCTGTGAAAATGACGCTATAATTGCTACTGTAAATTCCAAACTGTTCCACTCGGAATGAAAAGAAATGAAAAAAATTCAAACAGTGTGACCGAACATCCAATTTAAATTTTGCAAACAGAAAACTGGCTTATTGTTCAACGTTAGTTTAGATTCAAACTAGTTAAATAAGAAGGCATCAAAATCTCCAATATAAAAGTAATTGAAATGAATCTACTTACCAGTTGGTTCCATATTCTGTGCAGTCAATTGCACGGTCTGAAGACTGGCGCCTTAAAAAGAACCAACAAGATTTAATCTTTCTCTCTGTTGTTCCACATCTCCGGCTTGACGTAAATGATGACGGAGTTTCGTATAATCCGTTACTTTTAGTAGTATACTGAATACTATTAGTAGTATTAACATTATTTGTACTATACAGTGAACTACATGTAGCCCATTGGCGTTGTAATTTCTTTTTACCATTAAATAAACGAGAGGATGGAAGATTTTTTCTCATTTTGCCATCGTCTTTATTGTTCATTGTTTCTGGCTTTGCGGTACTAACTGTGGTCGATATCACATTCTCAGTTACAGTCGATGCTGAAGGTGTTAATGAATTGTTGGCTGACAAGTTTTCAAAAGATGCATAAGATGAGGTGTTTGCTGAGACTATCGGTGTACAGTCAGAAAATGATACTGATGTGGTACGTTGATTTGATATTGTTTTCACTGAAATATTTGATCTTTTGAAATTAATTGGGATAGCAGAATTCACTTTCGTTTCATAACCACTTAACTGTTCAGTCAATAGTTTCTCTTTCCCATTAGTTGGTATATTCATATTGATATTGTTGTTATTGATGTCAGATTTGTTACTACTTAGTTCAGAAGTGTCACTAACATCAATAGAATTTGAAGATGACTGATGCATCGTAGAGTTTCTTTTTGTGTGTGTGTGTGTGAATGCAATGCTGACTTGTTTTGTTTTATTTTACCGGTAATTTAACAAAATCTCTGGTGTTTACTCATTTCTTATCAACAGATAGATAAAGTAGAATGTTTTACTCAACTCAGATTATCTTTAAATAACAATAAGATAAATGTGCATTAATCCTATTGGATGTTTAAGGCAGTGGAATTCTACTGACCAATCTAATGCATTTTAGACTGAAAAGCTAAACTTTAGCTTTCATTTATAAGTCAGATGTATCCTAAATTTGACTTGACTCAACTATCTCACTCAAGTTAATCTAGTCGGTCAAAACAGAAAAACGTTGATCACTCGCTTACCTTCATTTTTTTATCTCAACTTATTTAGTTATAATCTCGTTTGATGTCATTTACAGCATGTTTAACTAATCACAAAACAATTGGTGTATTGAGTACCACTAAAATGTAAATTATGTTCTTTGTTGGGTAAAGTGTCTATTCTATCACAGGAAAACGCCTACACACTTATTGCTTTTCTCAATCTAAGGGCATCTAAATATGTGAAAAATCGTTCTCAGTATTATATGAACAAATACTTTTAATAAGATGAGCTATTTACATGCCTGTGTGTGAATACGGTTGCGTACGTATAAGCTTAAACATATCGTTAAATTCCATTTTTTAATGAATTACTACGTTTGTTTGAGAATGAGTTGGTCAGTTTAAATACCGAACTTTGTCAGCTTAAGGACCCGATAGATCTAGTTAGGAAAAAATTATATAACTTGACAAATACCATGTAATGACTGTGAGGTCAATTAAATCGGTCAGACTAATAGATGGGAATCACTCAGATCATTAAAACATACGAATTTACCTAGAGCTAGAGGAATCTGGAAAAATCTCGACTATAGCAATGCATTCAGTCACATATAATCAAAAAGTAGATTAGGATAGAGTAAAAATATTACAGCCGAGATTGATTAATCACCGGATCTGTTTTATCGAATCAGCAACAAATATGTGCTGTCTAGATTGAAAATTACAAGAGAAGACAGATAAGAGTGAGGCTATTTAAAGCTAGTTACCAAGTTGTGTGGATTCACTGGTATGACTATGAGCAATAAATTCTGACGGAAACGTCCTTCAGTTATTATCACTGAATCACTGTGTGTTATATCAAAAAACTTATGTAAAATGGGAAATATGGCTACATTAGAATTAAGTTTACACAAAGATGAAATAGCATGTTGCAAGTTGTATCCGTCATAATCATTATGATGTCATTTTATCGTATCATGGATAGATATGTATTTATCTTTCAGGTAACACTGAAAAGAATTTCCTGTTGCTATGTAAAGCTCAATGGATGAAGTTAAACCATAGTCCCAGGTGTGCGAACGCTCCAGTGACTTTGAACTCATGCTAGTCATTGGCTAACGACACTTGTCATTATTATAGCTCAAAAATAAAGGCTATTCACCAACTAAGGAGCGAATTTCACTCAGATCAAATTTTTAAGTACTGTTTAGACAATGTGTTAGTAGCTTGTTAGGATTAGGATTACGGTTAGGATAACGGTTATAATTAGGGTTAGGGTTATGATTAAGGACAGATTTAGAGCTGGTGTTATTTGTTTTGATTTGTTTGATTATCCACAATTCCTGGAAAGTAATCTTCTATCCTCTTCCTGGAAACCACAGTAATTCAACCGATGACTTTTGGGGAAGACTGCAAAACACGATTAAAGCGATAAATGGGTCACAAAAAAGCTCATCTTCAGTCACTTAGTGAACACATGTATTGAAACTGGTTAATTAAATTGATACTAAACATTATAATTGTAAGTATTTGAATCATGTCAGAGAAAGATACACTGCTTGATGTGTTTTCCATAATTTAATAATTCCCATTGTAGCACTAAGAACACAATATTCAGCCAAAAGACTCTTTTCAAAAAGTTTATTATCAAGCTGTACAATCGTAAATATATGGTTTTTTCAGGTGTGAATACATGAAATAATAATAATAGTATGAAGTGCAATTAAAATATTTGTGATTGTAATCATAGTTTAATGTCAAGTGGCAAAATAATTAATGTCGTATATAGAATAACACCTAAGGTGTATAGATGTTGGAAAAGGGTGCACAATTATAGGATTAGTAGGCGAATATAAAATGTTACATAACATGGTGTGAAATTTGATACGATAGAATTCAATATTGTAAAAACAAAAAAATTGATAATTTTGGATTTAGAATGACAAGTGGGACAAGCGCGAACAGTTCAGAGTGAGAATAGTAATAATAATAGTAATAATCTTAGTAATAAGGGAAAGGTACATAGAATAACTAAATAAACAAAATAAATAAATGTCTATCCCTCTACGGCCAAAGCAAAAGTAGGGATTGTACATACAGCTTCTGTACACAACGGTCTGGCTTAAAGTCATGAGTTGCCAAGGCCTCCGCTGTCTTTAGAAATCTGTAACGAAGACAACGAGGCGGGCAAGTTAGCATGGATTCTGTAGATGATCTTAAAATCATGGTCAGGGTTGACAGAGTGACAAAAGTCGATCAAAATAGAGCTTCGCACACACTTCCTTTCTCCCTTGTAAAACCATGCTGGAATATGTTCTCGTATCCGTGTGGAAAGCGTCCTCTGACTACGAACAATGTACCTTGCTCCACAAGAGCAGGTGAACTGATAGATGCACATGGAGTTGGCCAGACGGGGGAGCTTATCTTTTACAGAGGTAGAGAACAACTTGCGGCTAGTGAACGTCATGTGTTATTTTGCTGCAAAGAACGTCTTACTGACTTATTTAGAGAGACGATTTTTGAGCATATCCGAATCTTGATCACCTTTGAATTCCAAGTTCATGAATAAGGTTTTCTTTGGAACTGTGTCGGTGACCAGTTTAGACTGCTTATCTTTCATGTTGCTGTCAATAAATCGGTTAGGGTAACCGTTTCCTGCAAGCGTGGCTTTTAAGAAGTCAAGTTCCGAGTCAACGGAATCACAACTACAAATTTTCCTTAACCTAGAGCAGAGCGAATGAATTAATTTTCTTTTCCTGGAAATAGGCACCTAACTGTAAAAATTAGTTAAGTATTCCCTTTCTGAATGTGTGCCTCAGCAGACGTAATGACGGACCTCTCAAAAGATCTATCCACCGGAAATGTACATGGAACGGACAACTAACTAATTTTTACTGTTGGGTGCCTATTTCCACTTCCTCGACCTTGCCATAGAACGCCTAGAAGACGGTAGTCTTCAAAAGTCAATTTATCGAAAGCCTACTTGGAAAGGACAATACTTACATTTTAATAGTTTTTGTCCAAATAGCTTTAAACGCGGACTAGTCAAGACTCTGTACTATAGCGTGAGGAGAATATGCTCTATAGAGAAATTAGAGGAAGAATTTGTGTTTCTTGAAAAGATGTTGAAGAGCAATGGTTACTCTCAAAGGTCCATCAACAAGTATGAATGATCTGAAGTCACAAATGCAAAACAAATCACAGTAAGAAAAAAGCCAATATACATTCAGCTTGATTATAAGGGTGGAAACATTGCAGCGATGATCAGCAGAAGGCTGAGCACATCACTAGCCATAGCCTATCCTGCAGCTAAGCTCATCCCCGTCTATCGAACAACTTGCTCTCTGGTGGAATCAAGAATCGATAGATATCCTTCTCATGTTAACTCCAATTGTATATACAAATTTACATGTATCTGCGGAAGCAGTTACATTGGAAGAACAGAAAGAAGGGTACATCTACGATTTTCCGAACATGTACCAAAAAACTTACGTCTAAAGGGAACAAATGCTTTAAACAGTGCCGTCGCCAGGCATCTCCTCAACACGGGTCATGAGGTGGACATCCAAAAGTTGTTCAAAATTATGAATAAGCAAAAGAGCCCAATTCTCCTCAAGTTTCCTGAAGCCATTTCCATCAAGCGCCCGAAACCTGATTTGCGCGTTCAGAAAGAAGCGGTTATCAGTCTTTCTTTGCCCTGGTAACTGGATATTTTTCATCCGAATGCGAGATGCTGAAAAGTTTTCGTTGTGTATGATCATTATTGTTCCGAATAGTGTTTAATATTGCATATATATATTTATTATTAGTGTATGAGTATACTGATCGATTAATTTTTGTTTAAAATGAACTCTGTGCAAGTATGTTGAAATTGTTTTTGTAGATACATTTAATAATGTCTTTGGCCTGTAAGCAGCTGACGAGAAGGCAACAAAATAAAAGATGGTACCATTTTATTCTGCTTAAACTGTAGTTCTTGCTTTGTTCAAAATAGAAAAAACAACTATTGGAAAGTTTTCATTTAGCGATTTTAGCTAGGAAAATCCTCTTTTTTACGTTTGTACAAATGTAGTTATTTATGGATCACAACTGATAAGAATAAATGTCAACATACTTTTCATTATGAACTGTAATCAGTTAAACAATTACCGAAAATCAGGGAATTTTTCGGTTACAAGACTAGCTAGCTTATCATAAAGCCATTGAGTCGGATTCTGTCGGTTCATAATATAGTGCTGCCTTTAGCCAGTGTCATCGGTGAATAACTATAGACCCCACTTTTCACTGTTTCTCATTACAACCTCAGTATATTAATCGCTTTTTCAACAAATAACATAAACCGGAATTCCTAAAGGACTGGATTATCACCCTATGACTGAACAGTCAATGTGCTCAGTTCGTAACCTGAATATCCTGGGTTCAATTTCTGACGGAGTCATTAATTTGCACTACCAAGAAGTCCTAAAAATATCTCTAGTACTGTTTGGTCTTCAGTGATTCTCCTAGGTGTTATATCGGTTCGTTTCGAAATCCACACTAAAATTAACTATATTTCTACTTATCCAGTATGGGAATAATAACAAGTGTAAATACAGAAATGAAATGATATTGGTTGAAATGATTATGGGTCACAAAGTGATTAAAGAAAAATATGTAAATATTGTGTTCAAAGTAAAAGTATAATAAGCAAACAAAGAAACGAATTAATTAATATAGGGTTACTTTTACTGAAAGAGTTAAGTTCACTTTAACATAAGTAATGTGAGATATGAAACCAGCAGAATAGTCAAGCTGTGTTATTACACTGTGCTCTTATTTTTAA